ATATCCACTCGTTCATCATTAGAGCCACTGCGAACACACTTGTCGAGCAAGTTTATGACTACCAGTTTATTCAATAAAAAAACAACAGCAATAAAACACAAAACATAAAATAAAACTGGATTTATTCTTCCAACTCGATTTCATGCCTCTTATATTTTCTATTTATATTTCCGTCAATACTTCATTAATATAAAACCAAAATCACTTTTCAGCATCGATATCACCACTTCAGTTTTTTTAATTTTTCTTTCGCTTTTTCATTTCAATTTTCCGATTTTTTGCTCCACTCATTACGGAAAAAAGTGAAATTTGTTCACTAAAAAAAAAAAAATATTTAATTAACGAGAAAAAAAATTTATACAATTATAATTATAATTATATTCAAAGTAGAAAAATTTTGTGAATTAATTCGAACGGAACATTTTTTAATAAGGGTAAACTTTTAATGAAATCATATATATTATCAAGAGAATAAGCAAAATTTTGTGGCCAGTGTATTTATATGATAAAATGGATATTTGTGGTTGAATTTGGTATCGTTGAAAAAGTCTTAACCAGGAGTTGTGCCTTTTCATAGTTTCATATCGTTTTCACCAATAGTCAATTTATGATGATAAGTATTTAGGCTGCATTCGAAAATGCTTTATCTCTAGATACATAATTAAGAAATGACCTTGTATCTTGTGAACTATTGACATTTTTAAAGATATAAGCTCATCCCAATGTTACACTCATCAAGACCTTTCATTTGAATACCCACATCAATTTTTCATATATTTATATATATTACATATATGTATATATGAAAAATATATCAAAATGCATGTGGGTACTCAAATGAAAGGTCTTGATGAATGTTACGTCGGGATGAGCTTATATCTTTTAAAATGTCAATAGTTAAGAAGGTACAGAGCAATTTTACATAATTAAGAAAAGACCTTGTATCGTGAGAACTATTAAGATTTTTAAAGATATAAGCTCACCCCAACATTACACTCATCGAGACCTTTCATTTGAGTACCCGCATTATTTTTTCATATATTTATATATATTTATATATGAAAAATATATCAAAATGCATGTCGGTACTCAAATGAAAGCTCTTGATAAGTGTAATATCGGGATGAGCTTATATCTTTTAAAAAGTTAATATTTAAGAAAGTACAGTGCAATTTAACAAAAGTCATTAATTTAATAAAGCAAAATTTTATTTATTTATAGTTCACAAGTCACGGCAGTCACATAGTGACTGTAAGGTTGCTAGTTTTTCTTAAATCAAGTAGCTTTTTTCAGTGTATACTCAAATAAATGGCTTAATTTTTAGATGAATCACCGCAAGGAGGAACGACCAGTTAAATATATTACATAGACAATAATGAATGAGCCAGACGTCTCGGCGTCATTGTAGCATCGTAATAGATTTAATAAAATAAAATTCCGACAACGTATTATGTCCATCACTAAATATGTATGAATGCACTTGATAAAAGTTTAATTCCGGTGTCTAAAGCTGAAACTAGTTGTCAGTACATTTATTACAAGACTTTAATTTGAAATTCTTCTTAACTTAAAAATTTAATTAACTATCTTTTAATGTTCTCATCTTACTCTTCACTTTCAGATGTTCTTATTTTACTCTTAATAATTTATTCATTTATATTACTAATTATTCTATTTACACTCAATGCTCTCGTTGAGTATTAAAACATTCATAATTATTTTTTTACCCTATAATTAATTAAAGACATTTTAATTAAAGTAACGAAATATTTAGCAATAACTAAATAGACTTAAATTTCATTTCTGTCTTTCATTTTTTTTTATTTCAATTCGCATAAAAATTTTTACTGAAAGCTTAAAAATAATAATAATAAATAAATAAATAAAGTTTATTGCTCCTAGCAAAGAGTTGACAATAAGTGAATTCATGCATGAAATATAATTTAAAAAGCTGCGGAAAGCTGCATAATTTATAAAAAACGCAATTTACATGTAAAAATTGTCACGTTTGTTAACATTAAAAAATTTCATTATACTTCTATTTCCTTTATTTCTTTTTTAACTTTTATTCAGAAAAAAAAAAATTCTCGGCTTTAGTTTTCTTCCTTTTCCTCCCGCTGTTTCATAAAATTTTTCTCTCATTATTAAATTAGCAAGGTGGAAATTTTTCCATGCAGAAACGCCCCGATAAAAAAAACCCCGGAAAATAAAAAAAACAAAGTTTTATTGTTATTTTTAACATGAAAGAAAGTTGGATTGTATATTATTGATTTTATAAACTGTAGTGTCATAAACTTCTCCAAGTTAACAACTATAATATAATTATAATATAATAAATAATGAAAGATCAATAATTAACAATTGAAAAACCAACAGTTCATTTTTTCTTCGGTAACTTATTATTATATATATTAAAAACTTTTATCTTACTTATAATTTGATATAAAAAATTCCCAGTTCAGACACTTTGTGTTTAATATTGAGTTTAAAAGTCGGACTTTTAAACTTTTTATTGTACAAAAGTGATACTGAATATTAAAATACATAATATTTATACATTTTATACAAAGTTTGTGTTAATTATAAATGGATAAGCTATTGTAACAATTTGAGCAATTGACGGTTTGATTTTCATGGTAATTCAACTGTTGAATTAAATTAAACTGAACGACAATTGTTGGAGTTTCGACATTCTACTTGAATGCAGCTCTCCAACTTGATCGTTTATTAATTTGCTTATCGACGTCATGACCGTATGTCTTTGGGCTACGAGTTTAATTATATGACTTTGGCTTGGTCTACCGCCCTTTATTAAGTTTGTTATCCATTGTTTGCCTAGCTCATAGTAATATTCAATTTGTAACATTCTGTGTGAACAATCAAAAAGTTTTGGTGACAAGAAAAAATGATTAGATTAAAATAAAACATTTTTTAATGTACTATCGAATTTCCAACAGTTTTAAAAATTATTTAACGCATTGATAATCGTTGATTTATGCTTAAAATATTTTATTTATATTTAAAATAATTTTCTTGAATTAAATTATCTATATTATTAAGAGAATAAGCGAAATTTTGTCAGGTATAGTTCTATGATAAAATCGGTTTTTCAAGTGAAATTTAATGTCATTGCAAAGGTCTTGAATTGAATTTGTGCCTTTTCAAGGTTTCATATTATTCTCACCGATAGTCAATTTATGATGATGAGTATTTAGGCTACATTCGAAAATGCTTCATATCTACATACATAATTAAAAAATGACCTTGTATCTTGTGAACTATTGACATTTTTTAAAATATAAGCTCACCCTGAGATTAAACTCATCGAGACCTTTCATTTGAGTACCCACATCTACTTTTCATATATTTATATATATTATATATATGTATATATGAAAAATATATCAAAATGCATGTGGGTACTCAAATCAAAGCTCTTGATGAGTGTAACATTGGGATAAGCTTATATCTTTAAAAACGGCAATAGTCAAAAAATTACAGTGCAATTTAAGAAAAGTTTCTTCAAAGTCATAAAAGAAAAATTTTCTAAAATAATACAATTAAATAATTTAAAGGTAAAAAAGTAAATATAAAAAAAACAGAAGGTAGCAATTTGATTTTTGGTTCTTTTGTGGTTACTGAGATTATATATAAACAAAATTAAATCTATTCTCCCTTTGTTTTTTTATTAACTTAGTAGTTGAAGTAAATTCTGTTTGAATTCAGAGGAAAATCACATTTTCAGAAGAACTGTTATTTATCCCTTTGTGATGCTGTGAATAGAGTCTGGCGCCACGCTTTTCACCGGAATAAGACGACAATAGAATAACATATATATATATTCATTTCTTTCTTGCTTTCAGTCATTTTTTCTATCTCAGTGTCCCCAGCAATGAACGTCCTAGATACAAAAGTAAACTCTTATGTACGCCTTGTCTTTGTCAAAAAAATCCTGAACCACAGTCGTGAACCGGCAGTTGTCAACTTTCTTTCCTTCCAGAGCTTTACACTCCATTATTATCAGCTTTGCTTCCATTCGCTTCGCCATTTCAAAAAGCGTATTTCTGATATTGGAATTTGATCCTCTCTTTATGTTATCAAAATACAAATATTTGCTTCTCAATAAATATTTTCACTGCTATTTTCACTATATTAAACTTATTAGATATTAAAGCTCTGCACAGCGAGCGGGAAAATTCTTATCTGCATAGTTTATTAATGCGCTATTATGCCTCGTGATGAAAAGGATAGAGTAATTTATTATGACTATGAAAACATAAAATGTTTATACCAAGTGGAATTTTTTTGTAACTTTATTAAACTATAATATAACGTGTAATTAAATTTTGAGCTTAATGTTTCAATGTTTTTAGTCTAGACATCTTGTTGGGGTATAAATATTTAATTAGTTTATTCAGGAGGATATTAATGCGGCCCTTTACCGCAGAAATTAATTTTCTCTTTCATGATTCAGTTTACTTTCAAGAAAATTATCTTAAATATTTAAATTAACTAACATTTTTAACATAAAAACAACAAATCAAAATTTCTAATTGCAATCCAAAAAATTAACAAGCTTAATATAAATATTTAAAATTTTTTTAATGTGCTTACAGTTTCTTTCTATCGAAAAAAAGAAAAAAATTAGTTTAAACTTAAATTTAATCTTGATGATAGATTGTTCCAAAATCGACTGAATTATTGGTAAAACCTTAGAATATTAAACACAGAATCAGTCTTGTTGAACCACAAAATCAATTGAAACAAAAAAGTAGCTCACCTGTAACTCATTAAAAAATGAACGTGCTAAAATATTCATTATAAACTTTTTTCTCCATCTACTTTAGCTTTCCCCAGCAAACTTTTATCAGTTTGCAACAGTAATCCCCGGGGAATATTTTCCATCGATATTTAAACGCTTATAGCCCACAGCATCAATAAATCCCCAGCCAATTATTCAAGATAATTAATCTTAAAAACAATCCCCAATCATAATCCATCTATTGTTTCGTAATATCTATAGAAGAAATTCTCGGATATTCATTTTTATCCTTCAATATTTTCGGTTCAATCGTTTCTTCTTTTTTACTTTCTCTTTTTAGTTCAACTTTCGCCCCAATAACCCCCAAAATTTCTTCCGGGCCAAAAGTCGTCGCGATCGGACTGCAATCATCAGCCTTTGATTTTCTGCCTTTGATTTTTTGAAGACTTTCATCATTGCTACTCAAATTTCTGGTTTTTTCCGGCTCAGCTGCATCAGAAACTGAAAATTTGACCGACATTTTCTTTCTATCTGGATCTTTCCCACCAATCGCCGATAGTTTTTGATGCTCAACGATTTTATCAGTCTCGAAAGTGCCCTCGAGCTTCCGCTTGTTTATTTTCCTCAGCTCCTTCTTCAAAACATTCGGCTTTGCATTATTTAGCATAAAAATGAACTCTTTCTCCTCTCTGCTAAGTGTCTTTTCCAGCGGCAGTAAATTTTTGGACAAGCCTGCATACATTTCCTCAACCAGCCCTTTAATTTTCGCCTCTTCAAACTCTAACAATGAATCCCTCTCGTCAGCATCCTCAATGTCTTCATATTCATCGTCGGTAGCTTGTTTGGATTCTATAACAATATAATACAACATAATAATAATAATAATAATAATAATAATAATAAATTCATTATAATAACTTAATAATCCAAAGCAAAGTATTAGTTTACAAAACATCGTTAAAATGAGTTTCGTAACATAAACCTTCGTAAATTAAATGTATAATATAAACTACAAAGCATATTAAATCATGCGGCTCTTTGATATCGTTTAAAATCAAGTCCTCCTCCTATCCACTCGACATAGTCACGTAATCTTTGTTATAGATATTTTGTATGTACACTACACAGTAATGTACTATAGATGCTGCTTGATGCTATATTTACTTTATACACTGTTATGTAGCGTTCAGTAATTAGTAAGCACGAACGGGAGCTTTTGAGTGTAGGTGTGAAACTACTGGACAAGTTAACTTAATAGTTAGGCATCCAGCCAAATTTCCTTCCGCTATTATAGTCCAAAATAATCTTTATTTATACACAAACTTTCTTCGCTAAAATTATTCACTGCTAGTACTTATTACCTTCCTATCCATGAGCAATTTTCCCCGGCAATGGAAAACTATTTTAGCAATAATCACTAATTTTGGTCTGTGAATTCCACATAAGGTTGTAAGGTCAAAATAGAGCTTGAAAAATGAAGATATTCACTAATTTTTTTTGTTACATATTTTTTAATTGAAGATCAAAATTTTCTTTCCAAAAAATCTTCAAATTTTATGATTTTTAGATTTGAATCAATACTTTAAAAATTATTCATGTTTCACATCGAAAATAAAACATTTAAAAAAACTACATGTAAAAAAAAAAAGTCTGTGAATATCTTCATTTTTAATTTGAATGGCTAAAAATATGTAAACCTCTACTTCCGTATAATAATTCAATATGAATATTAAATTAATAAAATTTATCTTCCCAGGTTATATCTCCCAATCAATAATTCAAAAGCTCGCTTTATTTCATTAATAAATAAAAGTACTAAAAATGATTATCATGAATAAACGATGGTTCAGCTAAAGGTCTTGTAAAAAAAAAATAGATCGCTATAAAAGTGTAATTTACATCAATAAAATAATTCCTTGAAAGAGCACGATGATAATAATAACGATAACGCAGGTGAAGTACATAGAACAAATAAATGATAAAAAGAACATTACCAACTATAAAATCACCGCAGATCGAATCACAATCGTAAGGTTGATCTCCAGGTTCAAGGATTTTAAATTTTTTATCCAGTTTAAAAAGCGGTTTCCGCTTCTCACGATACTTAAGCCCATTTTTTTTATTCCTTACAATAATTTTTTTCCCTCGACTACCAACACCACCAACGGGGTCTTTGTCATCTTCATCTGACGTCGTTTGCTCCAGATATTTTTCGCTCCCGTCCAACTCACCCTCTTCTCCAGTTATTCCTATCTTTTCTATCTCGTCAAGTATCTCCTCTGTTAGTTTACCCTCGGTTTTCTCTCCCTCGACTATATCCGAGTTTTTCCTCACTATTATAATCTCTTTCATTTTAGAAAATCTGCCGGTTGTTTTCTTATCCTTAACGCCGCCAACTCCTTTAGAAGATCTCTCTTTTCGCGTTCCGCTTTTTATATTTCCCAACATCTTATCTCCTCGTAAATCCTCCTTTCCACGCTTAATTGATGATTCTTTCATTGAAAATACAGAATAGCCTTTCCTGGCGATCGGCTTTTCCCCATCGATCGCATTTGCATATTTCTCCTTTTCCTAAACATAAATTAAACCTCAAACATAACTCAATCAATTGCCTGCCTTCCAACCCAAAAAAATTCCTCAACAAACCTTTACCAGCGTTTCAAAATAATTTCTCTCATCTTCAATCAATTTTGGATCTCCAACCTGCCAAATGTCCTTGGATTTTTTCCGAATTTTCTTCCTATCTCTTTCGCTTTTTCTCCTCTCTTCAAATTTCTTATCCTTTGGCATTGACTTGCGCTGTAAACTCTTGTCCTTAGCTTTCACTGAAAATTATTTCAATAGCCTTTGTATAAGATCCACCAAAATCAAAGACCGAGTGAATAAACAATCAAACGCAGTGTTGTACCTCTGGCAGAAGGAATAGCGAGTTCAGACTCGGCATAAGCAACTCTTTGCATAAGGCGAGTTTCCTTTAACCGATTGTCTACTGCTTTTTCATGACGACTACATCTCTCCAAGTACTAAAACAGAAACAAAGTAACGACAACAATATTTTATCTACCTTTTGTCTCATAAATTCTAACCGAAAGCTCTTTAGAGCGAAAACAAAAGTTTACAAATTATCTTTACGTCAAAGGTAAAGTATATAGGGTAAGTGTGGGATTACTGGGGTTACAAATGGATGACTAACTTTCGAGGATTTTTTAAAAATTCATTACAAGGTATCGGTAAAAGTTTTTTTTTTCTTAGTCTCAAGAAAATTAAATTTTCGGGAGAATTTTTTGTTTTCTCTTTTAAATAATAAAAACTCTTTATGGGATTTACTACTTTGGAATATGGGAAAGAGAAAATAGTAATATTTATTATTCTACAAAGTAACAAAGTAACTGAGTAGCTTGCTTTATTTTTAATAAAATTATTGACACTATGTATACTTGGGTGTGCTAATATTCAAATTTCGTGAGGAACCTTTTAAAACTGGAATTTTGAGTTTCGCTTTTAACAGGAGCTATGTTTGGGTATTTCCCGAGAGATTTCGGGGTGAGACGATTTATTTTATTTTCATAGAATTTTTTAATAAGAGCTTTGTTTGGACATTTCAACTGAAATGTCAAAATTTGGCTGGAAGTGCCCAAACAAAGCTCCTGTCAAAAATTCTATGAAAATCAAATAATACGTCTCCACTCAAAATATCTCAGGAAATGCCCAAACACAGCTCCTACCAAAAGCGGAACTCCAAATTCCAATTTTAAAAGGTTCCTCATGTAAATCTAATTTTGGCACACCCTAACGTATACGGAAAAAAATTACAAAAATTATTATGTAAAAATGACCAATATATTTTAATAGACAAAGTCGGTATTTAATATTGAGAGTGATTTTCGTCACTGAAAAATTTTCTTTACCTTTTAATATATTAATGATGTTACATGAGATTATAACCAGTCTTTTCTCCGTGAAAAAAAAAAAAAAAAAAAAAAAAAAAAAAAAAAAAAGAAACAGTAATATCCACATTTACCCTCTACTCTTAGTAAATAAACAATTACCGTGGCCATGAGATTCTTATCATTAGGTCCGTTGGTAGTTAATGCCTCAGAAGCTTCAAGGATCAAAATAGTCCCGATATTATTACCGACGGCAATAAATTTGCCGAGTTGATGGGCCGCTATTGCAGTGAGGCCTTCTTTGCAAACACGCGAACTTAGTACAGCGTCTTTAATCCCGACTAATACATCAAACACTTGTATCATGCCATCGTTATTTATAACGTAAAACACGGAGTAACGTGACGTGCTCCAGCATCCGCCAGCTGGAATGGATCTGTGGTGCCTTTATCCGTGTTATTTATGACAGTGATTAATAACTGGATTGTTCTTGTCCCCAGGGAAGGACTTAGGCATCCCTATGTAATGTTAAGATGCGTCCTGCATTTTAAAATGACAAATATGGATACTTACGTAGTGGAGATAAGGTTGCCCTCCTTGGTGTCCTCCGCCCAAATTTTAGTAGTCCAGTCGCCGATTGTAAGAAAGTTCTTGGTGGCAAATGAGTTCCTATCAATCGCAACCACAGGTCCGCAGTGACAATCGAACCGCATCGACATTTTCTCAACCGGATTTTTACCCTTTCTAGATCCACTTACTACAATTCCGTTTTCCATTCCTACCATAAATTTCGTCCCGATCGTCGGTTCGAATTGCAGAGACGACACTCCCACGGCTTTTACCGTGTCACCGCGAATTGGATTCTCTAAATCCATTATTAAAATCTCTGTTGGCTTTCTTAACATTCTGATATCCCACCAGCAAATAGTGCCGTCTGTTGATCCGGAAAAAAATTCAGTGTTTGTTTTTGAATTTGTCCAAAGTATGCAATTCACTGGATTTCTGTATCAGCAGATTTATTTGTTTTAATCTTTTTAAGTAAATTTAATACTTTTAAAATGATCAAAATAAAAAACGTACATTTAATTAAAAAATTATCTACATTATTAAGAAAATACTCTATCCCTAGACGCATAATTAAGAAATGACCTTGTCTCTTGTGAACTATTGACATTTTTAACTCTTCGTCACCCGCGTCATCAGCAGATCGCCGCCTAACAACTACTGAACCTATAGAGACTCACTATAGTGCGAGCGAGAAACTAAAAAAGACGCGAGTGACGAAGGGTTAAAGATATAAGCTCATCGTGACATTAAACTCATCGAGACTTTTTATTTGAGTACCCACATCAATTTTTCATATATTTTATATATTTATATATTCCACAAATACCATATATATATATATATATATATATATATAAAATATATGAAAAATGCCATGTGGGTACTCAAATGAAAGCTCTTGATGAGTGTAACATCGGGATAAGCTTATATCTTTAAAAATGTCAATGGTTAAGAAAGTACTGTGCAATTTAACAAAAGTCATTATTTAATAACGCAAAATTTTATTTATTTCTAATTTTCAAGTCACAGCAGTCACATAGTGACTCAAAGATTATTAATAATTTTTTAATACATTTTTAAGTTGTAAAAATCGATTAAGAATTTAATTTTATCAATTGATAATTTTAAAAATTTTTTTCTTATTATTACAGAAGCTGTAATTTTTCAATCAACTAGTTTTTTTTTTTTTTTTTTTAAATAGAGATTGCAAAAAAAAGTTCTGATATCTCTGAACATTCATCCGTGCTTTCGAGCCTTTTTTTGAATCTCTAAAAAGCACCAATTAGCCTACTCTTTTTTGTACGTTTTTCACAGAGACCATTTTTGACACTATTTTTATCAGAAAACAGACAGAGTATTAACTTGTGACTGTATTGTAGATGTGATATAAAAATAGGCGTATCACTGGTCCGAATATCCCAGCTGCAAACTTGTCCCGACATCAAACCACTAATCAACATTGACGGATCGTGAGGATTGAATTGAATGGTTAGCAAAGAATCCACAGCTTTTAAGCCCATGAATGCCACGTTCGGATTTTCTGAACAATTGAAAGAGAGAGATTTGTCCTTGGATAGAGTTATATACTCACTAGATACTCCCGATACAATCCAGAATCTACGATCCAGAATCCGCAATCCACAATCCACAATACACATGCACCAACTTTGTTCTCTGCAAGGACCTTTTTTATCAGACTTTTTTCTTTACTTACCAATATCCCAGATGTACGAGCACGAATTGAGATCTGAAGAGACTCTTTGAAACTCAGCAAAGCAATACGAGGCAGCCAATCGCTTCCCCTGATCTGGCGACCATGACAGCTGGGTTATTGGCCGTGGTATTGCTTCTGGATCTTTGAAGGCATTTACAGTTCTAAAGAAAATTATTTCATTTTCTTTCCGTTTCACAAACAGATCACGACCTCAAAGTTCTTCTTTGTATTTCTGTTATCTGTTATATTAAATTATTTCACCTAATTCCCAGCGGCAGCACCAATTCCGTGGGGATCATGTCGTCGAAGTAATTTTCGTAGATATTCACCGCGTTGTTTTGCAGAATGTAGTGCTCCATTGGCTGGATAATTTAATAAAAAATAATCAAAAAAAATAAAAGTTTGGAAAATCCAAAAGTGCCCGCCTCGTAATCTCATTTTCCATAATAAAATTGATTAAAATAAAATACAAAAAATACTTTTAAATCTTTCGCGCCATTGTCCACCCAAAAAAGAAAAGATACTGCGCATGTATTGTAAACGAACCTTATTTACATAGATATAGATATACAAACAATTAGTGGATTTTTAGTTTATTGCTAATTATAAATAAACTACATTGAATTAGACTGTGATCTTCGAAAGGACAGTTTTAAATCATACTGAAGCGCATAAAAAATAAATGCACTTGATCAGTTAAGTTTTTCGGCAGTTATCGTGACCACGCCAGTTTTCATACATACATTTGACAACCGGAGGTTCACGGAATAATTTTTTTAAACATTTTTTTATTTATTTAAAAAGCAAAATGTCTTTTAAAAATGTAATAAGTGTTGAAACTAGTGTTTTTCCATGACATTTATGTGTAAATATTGTTCTACAAGTGCGATAGAAAATAAATAGAGACAATTTTAGTTCAAGAAATCGCTTGATTTTTGTAAGGCGAGCGTAGAGCACAACCTCGATCATCCGCTTTGCTTATGAGGCGTGCAAAAAAAATATCAACAAAATTAAATTACACACCTCAGAAAGCTGGCGAATTTTAGGCACCCAAATATCGTCTTTTTCAACGCGTCTGCGATATCTAGCGACGATTTCTTCATCGTTGAAGTTAATATCCTTGGGCCAACCGCCTTCCAGATGATTCATCCCACTCTCCTTGGTCAGAATAGTTTCCGTTTGAACCTAGAAATTCAGAGCAGAATAGATACTTTGAAGCAATCACGTGAAAACCCGTTAAATGTTTTCAGGTAGTTCGCTCATACAAAGTATCCTTTATCACGAACACGCCATTCTTATTCCAAAGTACTGTGAGTACTCTCTTAAGACAAAATTACTTTGAAACAGATATAAAAGATAAGACTTGATACTGGATGAAAACTTTTTTTCATTTATCTTTTTTCCATTAATCATTTAATGCTCTGTACTGAGACTTAAAAAAGAGGAGAAGTTAAAGTGAGAGAGACTTTGAAAACTTTAACGGATTGAAAAAAGATTAAAGCGATTTTTACCTCGTGTACTGCAAATTTTTTTGAGATTTGCACGGCTTTGTCGACTGGGTTTATTCTTACATAATCTTTCATAGCATCATGATTCGGGAATATGTTTTCCTCCACAGTGACCTCTGAGTCATCAAAAATGCATTGTTTTCCAAAATGTGATCTTTTTTTTACAAAAACTTGCTTTATTTCCATGATTTAAAGTTCACTTTTTCAATAATAATAATAATAATTATAATAATAACAACGATGACATTTAAGGTTAAATTATTTTTTAACAAGATTTATTGAAATTCAAATTAACTTTATATTAAACATCGATCGTACTGCCCGTATAGTTTTTGCCAGTAATGCAAATCCAATAACCAAATTTGAATTTAAATATTTAGAGCGTAAGTTTTATTTTGCTTTTGCTCTGATATATATTACTGATAAATATTAAAGTTCGCCTTTAGTTAATTCGCAATTTGCTTTTCAATTTATCGTCGCTCAAATGTTTAATGCATTAACCAAAATAAATAACCGACAATTAAGTTTTAAAACTAAATTGAATAATTTATTGATTGGAATGAAACCGGAGAAAATAAAATTTTGGTCAGGATTTTTATCTCTTATTTTATTTTTTTTTTTTCAATTAGTTTGTTTGCCTTCTCGGGTGTACTTTAATTAAAATAAAACAAAAAAATCCCTGTGTCGATAAAATTAACTGGTCTTGTTAATTGATATACTGGTTTTAAAAACCAACTTTTATTTTTTGGAAGAAAACAAAACTTTGTTTTTTATTCTTTTTAATCTCTGAAATAAATATCCATATAATCGAAACCTCTATAAATAACAATGACAATAAATACCCCAAAAGTTTATTTAACTTTCCATAAAATAATGTAACGCAAACAGATTCAGCAATAAACATTTGAACTAAATTTACTCTGGGTCGTTTGTGTTTTCATTTAGACTTTAAAGTAGCAGTAGGTGTTGCCGTACGGTATTCAGGGATCAGTATAATATGTTCAATACACACGCGTCCAGATATAGAGGTATATATTTGCTTAAATGTCAGTTGAGTTGAGTTGGGAATATTTGAATTGAAATTCACAGTAAGGTTTTGCTTCAATAAATAAAATGAACATCTGCTTTTTTAAACTCCCAAACTCCCCGAAGTATTAACAGAGTACATTCAATGTCTAGTCTAGTCTAGTCTCGTATAAATATACAAATAAAATAGATACTGCACCAGATAAATGAGAAATGCTCGGTAAAAGCATCTCCATTGTATTGTATCGGATACCTTGTATTACCGACAAGAATGTAAAGCGCATTTATCATTAGACAAAAATGATACCCGACAGTTATCGACAGCTTTTTTGCGCCTGGTAGATATATCTTTCCTGTCTTGTCTGTTATTCGAAAAAGAGAGTGCAGAAGCGTATAATATGTACTACTTTTTTAAAATAAATATGATACGTCGGCTGATTAAATTGATTGATAACTTTTAATCTTGAAAGATACTCGCTGCGATCGGGAGGGAAAATTTCAGCTTTCAACAACGAACGTCAATCTTCAACACCTGTGATCTCGAGCTATAATATTTTAGGGCTGCGGGCAGTGAGCTTGTGTGCGGAATATTTTTAAAAAGACGGTTTTTTTTTACCTTTTATTAAATTGTGAATAAAGCTCGGAAATTTAGAGGAAGGAAATATGTAATTAAGATTACATATTTTTATTTTTCATACATTTTTTTAATGTGTAGAAATTTTTTTTTTATAAATTTTTCTTGTTATTTGAGTGTTCATTTTCAAAAAAATATAAAATTGCATTTTTTAGGAGCAATTTATTAAAAAAATTTTTTTATGATTTTTCATATAAAAAAAAAAAAAATTGTGCAAGCTGTGATTAATTTTTTCAAATTAATCTAGGTTCATATAGAAGACATTTATAAAAAGAAGCCATCTGCAAAATTTTAAAATAAATCGTTGAAAATTTATCAAGCTAGATTATATACAAATTCATAAAAGTACACAGAAAAAAAATCTACTTGAATCAAGTAAATAATTTTGAAGAACTTCATCTTGGTTTGAGTAGAAAAATTTTTAAACTAAGAAACTTTTCTTAGCTTAAGTAAATTTTGCTTAATTCAAGAATTTTTGGTCTTGTTTTAAGTTAATTTTTTTTTTCAGTGAAGTTTTGCGAAAAATGCGAGAAAAGTTTTCTTAATAATTTATAATATTATAATAAAATTAAAAAAAAGAATTTTTTGAAATTCTTCCTCCCCCTTAAAAATGTATTGATCGTAAAGTGGCACTTTGAGGCGAGGAATTTCAAAGCAAAAGCTTTTTATTGACGTGAGAAAGATAAAAGAGAGTGAAGGATGAGAAATGAATGATGACAGGTTGTGTTTTTACGTCTGGCTTAAATGACGCCGGTAATTTCGCGGGACATCAGACATCTTTTTCCGGTGAATATGTACCATTTCTCGGTTTTAAACAACTTGCCTAAGAAAATAGTGAGTGGTATAACTGTAGAGCTTAACATAAAAGACATTGCTCGTATAACTGGTGAATATGCCGAGTAGAATGTCCACGGCGCTTTTGAGATTCATTATTTATCACTTGGGAATTTTTCACACGTGTTGTGAATTTTAAGAGAAGAAAATCTGGTTCAACATGTTGCAAGCTGACTGTGATAAAAGATTTTAGAAAGACTTTTAACTTACGAGACTCGATGATAGGTCAATGGAAATTCGTATTAACAATGCTAACGATAATGAATGAAAGATTGATATTGAAGCCATAAATTAAGAGAAAAGTAAATGTTTCTATTTTTATTTTAATTTTACTCGGCTTATACTAATGGATAGTTTATGACTGTTGGGTAAGTGAGAAGGTGTTTTTTCATCTGAAACCAAACGGTTGTTAAACATTTGCAAATCGAGCCGTCAATCACCACCGAGAAAAGCTTTCGTCTAGACAAATAACAAAGTTAAGCGAAAATCGATCCCGGCTATTTAGAATCCCGGGTCAGAGGTTAAACATTTGAATAATCACCATAAAAAACATTTCGAGAAATAACATTTGTTTTTGCTGGTTTTTATTGCGATCCTGGGTTTTATGAAAATGAATTTATCAATTTATTGATATTGAATGCCACGGCACAGGCCGAATGACAAGATATTAAATACAGAAAGATTTTGTGTACAAACTGTAGACATACATAATAATACAATAAAAAATACTTATAATAATTAGATATAAAACATAATAAAAAGAAGAGCAAAAATAATTAATAAATATTAATTTAATTATTTATACGTAACTAATTTTCTCACTCAGAGATTTATTAAAGAGATGCAAATAAGATTTAAATAAGACCTGATTGAAATATCGACTTATACTACAAATATTTAATATTTTAATTCTTGTAGACAGACTTGATATAGAATCAGAGACCAATTGAGGAGTTGAGTTTCAAAAGGATATCTTTTCTTGATTAATAAAGACAAAAAACTGGTTATCTTCGATTATAAATATTTTTATTGAACTTTTTTTAATTTAGTTATAAAGTGCTATCGGTTATGAAGCTACTATTCGATTTTCATTTGGAAATCTTTATAATTCTCGAAGTAATTAATATTTATAAGTTCAAAAAACTGCTCTTTTAAAATACGAAAAGATACCCTTTTGAAAATCAGCTGCTCAATTGATAATAGATATTCAAACTTCGGTTGGTATTTTTTGCCATAATCGTATCGCAGGTGTCATAAAAGAATGTTTTAGAAGTGATGGTGAAAACTTAAGGATTAAATAGTTCACATTGTTATTTTTAATTGCAATTCTCTCCGATCTTCATAATAATAACATAAATAACTAGGCTTATACCAATAGATAACAATTTATAAAAATATGTAGCTGAATATTGATTTTAACCTAAATATGTTTTTTTTATTACAGCTTTTCGACGATGTGTATCATTTCGACCAAAAATTGGTGGCGAAGCGATCAGCGGAGCCCCATTTGGAAATGCACAGGCGATTGGCGGGAGACCCGAGGGTGCAAAATGCCAAGCAGCAAAGAATATTGTCACGTAGAAAAAGGGATTTTGTGGTAAAACGCGGTCCAGCAAGCTCACGCGCCATCTTGAATGATGACAGATGGCCGCAAATGTGGTACTTGGTGAGTTATTGTTTCGATTATTATTTAATATTTATCATTTATCACTAGAATTCTTATTATTATCAAATAGAAACGTTGGAAGGGTATTAAGTAGTGGGTGTTTAGTATCATTCAGCGGATTAATCTGATATATGAGCATGTTTACGGTAATGGCCGGAATATGTTAATGATGTTTGACTAATGACGTGACGGAAATAATTAAACGCAGTCATAACTATTGTCGATGTTCTATTCTGCAGAATCGAGGCAAGGGACTTGACATGAACGTCCAGGGTGCTTGGGCCGATGGAATTACTGGGCATGGTGTCGTTGTCACTATTTTGGATGATGGACTGGAAAAAGATCATCCTGATATCTACAGTAATTATGTGAGTCATTTTTTTTATTGAGATATTTTTCTTAGATTTCATTTATTTATTTTGTCATTTTAATAATTTGGTCATTAATTTTTTTTAGACATAAGCACCCTTCATTTATTATTCATGATTGTTATCTAGATATTTTTATTAAATAAAAAAAATTAATATGAAATTGAAACTTATTCTAGATTTTTATTTAAGACAATTAATTAAAGCTTTAAGCGTGGATTATTTAAAATAGTTAATAATAAATATTAATGGCTGTTTTAACAATAATAAATTTCAATTAGTATAATTAAAAATGAAATATTTGAAATTTAATGTAAAATCGCTGTTTGATTAACAATTTACGGACATTAATAATTAATTTCAAATTTTCATATTATGAAAGCGCTTTGAGCTTTCATTGCGTCAGTACGTCAGCAAGCGGGAAATATAATAGATTAATGAGAGATAAATTATTATTTTTATAATTTTTAAACTGTTATTTGGATAGACGGTTAATCATTTATACGAAAATATTGTTCGATTTATAATTAAAATGAAAAGCTTCGACGTTATTGATATGTTTATATTTCCATTTTTTGCTATTTTTATCATTATTAATTCATTATAACACTCGGATTATGATTGCGATGCTAAAAATATAATATTATATCAGAGTAAAGAGAACAATGTTTGTACTGAACACGTATTGTCTATTAAAAAAAAAATAATCAATACCAAATGCGATTTTGCTATTGCGGGGAACATTAAAACGGACAAGCTCGAGAGAATTTTTACCGTACTTTTCATCCTCGCTGCACTCCATAACTATTATTTTATGGCGGACTGAATATTGGTAATAATTTATAAAAATAAAAACTTGCATTAGATTTTTATGACTGTCTTATCTAACTTTTAAATTGTACGTGTGTGGTAGGAACTTTTCTCTTGGAAAATAAAATTTGCATGAAAATTTAATAACTTTGTTTACTTTTTTATTTTTTTATTAATTAGTCAACTCAAATATCGTCTCAAATTTAAATCATTAGAAAATCAAGCGCGCTTTTATCAAAATGTTTATTATCAACAATTTAATTAATCAATATTTTAATAAATTTGAATCCCATCAACTTTTTAATAGAATATTTAATTGATAATTTTAATTTTAATTAAAATTGCTGATTTCCAAAAATTAAAATTCATTTTTTAGATTATCTCCCTATTGATAAAATCAATTTTTTTTTTATCTTTGGAATATAATTTTAGCGGGATAAAATTTTTAAGCAATCCATTTATTTAATATGCTATGATATTTATTTCTTAAAATATTTAAGCAAAGAAAAATTATTTCTGTGGTAGCAAATAAATTTCTCTCCTCCCAATAAATAGATAATTGATACGTAAGCTCTGGCTTACGGTTCATCTTACCGTGAATAATTAATATAGATACATTAACGCAACAAGTTAAACCCTTGTAAATAAATCCTATTACACCGAACCCACACTATACTCGAAGGTAAATTTTACAAATGATAGTTTTTTTTTTAAATTAAAACAAATAATGGATCAAAAATTGACTTTTATTTAAAAAATTTTAAAACTAATTTCTATATTATCATTATTAATATAAATATAAATACCTTCCAATCTGATAAAATGTAACACACGATACTTCAATTTACTAATTGCTTTTTTCCGAAAAATCTCGGATCGTCAAAACCCGAGCTACGAGTCCCATTAGTAAGCCTTTGACATATTAATATTAAAATTAAAATTAAAAAACTCAGCGGAAGTCTATAAAAAAAAAAAAAAAAAAAAGTTTAAAGCGAGCTTAATTTATTATTTCCATTACAGGATCCACAAGCGAGTTATGATGTAAACAGCTATGACGATGATCCTATGCCACGATATGACTACCTCAACAGCAATCGTCACGGTACCAGATGTGCTGGAGAAGTTGCTGCAACAGCGAATAATTCTTTTTGTGCCGTTGGGGTTGCTTACGGCGCTGGAGTTGGGGGTAAGTTGTGCTCTACTACTTTTGCTGCTTATATTTCTGCTCGGTTAGTAATTGAATTTGTTTTCGTGACTTGAGTCATGAGAGAAACAACTCAAGGAAATTGAAAACATTAAATTTTAAAATAAAATAAAAAGTAACTACCGAGTAATTCAATTTTTTTTTTTTTTTTTTTTTTTTTTTTTTTTTTTTTTTTTTTTTTAAGGAGTAAGAATGCTGGATGGTGAAGTAACGGATGCTGTTGAAGCTAGATCTTTAAGTTTCAACGCCCAACACATAGATATCTACAGCGCATCCTGGGGTCCGGACGATGACGGGAAAACAGTAGATGGCCCTGGAGAACTTGCTACTCGAGCTTTCATTGAAGGCATCACTAAGGTAAAGTCATTTTATCGGATAAGATTCACGTCGTTGTATTCACAACAATAATAACAAACCTCAATAATAGTTAAGTTGTATGGCATAGCTATAATGATAATACAATATAATAATAAGAACATTTCTACCCTGGCGATATATATCTCAAACTAATTTCATTGAACGCACTCAACCGAGCGATGTATAATATATAGTTCCGACCAAACAATCGACTTGACTTAGTTACATTTAATATTATTATAAATGTTCGATATTTAATGTATATCTTATGTAACAATAGACAATACGCGACTGTTGGTGTTTCTGTTTGTGTATTCAGCTGTACGTTATATTGTATTTTATCGCATTCAGTAATCTAGTTTATATTCACTATCTGTGTATTGCGTGATATTGGAATATTTCAGGTTAAAATTATGTGAAAAATTGCTGATTAGATAAATTTATTTATCGTGTAAAACTGGGGGATAGTAATTGATTAGGATATTATTCTGAAAATATTGCGGTGAATTTATTTTATCATTTAGATATTTTTTTGTATTATTATTATGTTGAAAAAATTTTATTTGATCATTAAATCTTTATTATTAAGTAGATAAAAAAAATTTTGTTTCCAGGATAGTCATATGATTAAATCGGTTTTTTTTTTTTTTAGTGAAATTCAGTGTCATTGCAAAGGTCTTAACTTGAATTTGTGCCTTTTCAAGGTTTCATATCATTCTCACCGACAGTCAATTTATTATGATATTTACTCTGCATTCTAAAATTCTCTATCTCTGTTAGATACATAATTAAGAAATGACCTTGTACCTTGTGAGCTAATGACATTTTTAAAAATATAAGCTCACCACGACATTACACTCATCGAGACCTTTTATTTGAGTACCCACATCAATTTTTCATATATTTTATATATATGATATTTCTGATATTTATGAAATATATAAAATATATAAAAAATGCATGTGAGTACTCAAATGAAAGCTCTTGAAGAGTGTAACATCGGGATGAGCTTATATTTTTAAAAACCTCAATAGTTAAAAAGTACAGTGCAATATCACTAAATTCATTATTTAATAAATCAAAATTTTATTTAAATATTTCAAACAATTTAAGCAATAAACACCCCGAAAAAATCATCTCTAAAATAAATTATCCGAATTTCTGCAGGGGAATTTCGAGCGAGTTTACAACTTCTTTAGTAACTTTCACACAATCAATTAACTTTAATGAGCTTACGCATAAATAATTTGAACGGTTGATGCCAACAAAAGTTTTAATAACTGTAATCACGTAATTTTAGTTTTAATAACCGAGTAAGGGTAAAGCGATTTTATTTCTTAGCGCATCCATTACCATTTTCATTAGACTTTACTAAAACTTAGCAATTAACCTAGGGCTTATGAATCATATGCAAATATTCAGTAGCTAGTTCCAGAGCTCAAGTGCATTGAAAAATGAATAACTCGGTCGAATAAAAGAAAATCTGTTGTAATACAAACCGAACAAAAAGCTTACTTGCGCTGCAAGTTTTTTTAATTAACTGCAAGTCCAAAGACCAAAATTGTTAAAAACAAAACTAGGTTTTGCTTTACAATGACTTTTTATTTTATTTAATTTGTTTTTATCCCCCACAGGGTCGCAGCGGTAAAGGCTCGATATTCGTGTGGGCATCGGGTAATGGAGGTCGCGAACATGACAACTGCAATTGTGATGGTTATACAAATAGTATTTGGACACTGTCAATTAGTAGCGCAACTGAAAATGGTTTAGTGCCGTGGTACAGCGAGGCATGTTCATCAACTCTCGCTACTGCCTACAGTTCCGGTTCGCTAGGAGAAAAACAAATCGTAACTATTGATTTAAATCATCAGTGCACAAGCAGTCATACCGGTACCTCAGCGTCAGCACCAATTGCCGCGGGAATTTGTGCGTTAGCTCTTGAAGCCAACCGAGATCTTACGTGGCGCGATATGCAGCACATAGTCGTAAGAACCGCTAAGCCGGCTAATTTAATTGCCGCTGATTGGACCATTAACGGTGTTGGCAGAAATGGTGAGATAATTATTTATGCTTTTAATTTTTATTTTTCACCAGTCAAGAGAACGTCTGTTTTGATTTAGTGACAGTAATTTATTTTTTTTTTATGGCTTGTATGATTACACATTTAAACTTTGGTGTTATAGTTAGCCACAGTTTCGGCTATGGCTTAATGGATGCAACCGCAATGGTTCAACTTGCCAAAAAGTGGCAGACCGTTCCGGAACAACACAAGTGTGAAATGTTAGCGCCACACAAAAATAGGTATGGGTTTTTTTAATTTTTTTATGGTAGTAAATCACTTTGTGTCAGTCAATTTTATTAAATTTATGATACTGAAGAAATAAAAAAAAAATTTCATTTTTAAGAGATAATATACACTTAGAATTTCAAAAATATCGATTTTTTTTTCATTTTATTTTTTGAATGTAAATATTATTGTATCAAAAAAACCGACAAATTATTTTTTTTTAATTATTATGACGTTTGGTCAGAAAATGCTTAAATAAAGACCCTATCAAAATTTGAGTTGTTAATATTGATATTCAGTGAAAAATTATGCGTTAAAAAATTTTTTTAAATATTTAACGAATTTTTTGGTAATTATTTACAAGTGGGGTTATTTTGGCTATAACTAGGTGAAAAATTAACATTTTCAAAATTTTTTTTATTCTGTTTGTTTTTACTATGTATTTCAAAGTCGTGAATCAAAATTTTTTACTTTCTGTTTAAATAATATGGAAAAAAAATTTTTTTTTATCAAAATTTACAAGGGAATAAAATTTAAAACTAATCAATCAATCTAAAATAAATTAAAGTTTTGAAAGAGCTCGTATTCTCACCTCAACTCTCGTAATTGGCCCTACGACCCTCTAATTTAAGTTCAGCATTGCAATAGACAATTGAAATTTAATCAACGGATGTAATAAAATAACTTAGTAACTTTAGTTTCAAAGTAACCCACGGAGAATAGGAGCCTCAAGTTTGTGGCTACTGTTCATTTTATTATGCTAGTATTACATTTGTACTCACTAGTACTTATTAAATTTACATTCAGCGACTATTGATCAGTATACTATCAATTTAATAGCGCTATAGCTATAACATATTATGTGCATACACACTTTCATTGCAATTTTTATTGTTATCTTTATAATTACTTTATTAAAAAAAAAAGATAAAAATTATCATAGTAAGATTTCTTTCCTCAATAACAATTTTAATTATAATCAAAGAATATCCCATCGAATATTGCCGAGTAAAAATAGATATTTATCTATTAATTGACCATTGTATAAAATTACAAAAGAAGTACTTCCGTGATCTCAGATAGGTTTTTCATCGTATAAGAATAAATTATCGATTAAATTTAATGATGTTCTCAAAGTTCAACTCAAGTTATATTGATATGACTTCAATTAATTTTATATATAAATTTTTTCTATTAAAATTACTTCCTTTAAAATGAAAATTTAAAAAATCTTCAACTAATATTAATAAATAAATTTTTCTTTTTATAAAGAACAATTAATTTTGAATAAAAAATTTTTTCTATAAAATCTTCAAAGTAAAAATTAAAAAAAGTTTATTAATAAATTTTAATAAAATTTTTTTACTAATATTAATAAATAATTTTTTTTATTTAATATAGATCAATTCCATCGCGTAGTCAATTGACCCTAGATTTTCATGTAAAAGAATGCAGTGGCGTCAACTTTTTAGAGCACGTTCAGGTAATTATTATTCATAATTCCACAAACTTAAATTTATCTATTTAAAGTCTTAAAACTTTGATGATGAAGTTACAACTTGTAACTTCTTTACATTGATAATTTTATTTATTATTTAATTTCAAAGCCAAGGCAGTATAACCAAATGGCAAAAGTAATACAAAAAAAATTATAATAAAGTACACGTATGAATGATGAAGATATAAAATTTCAAAAATATTAGATGTTCAGAAAAAATGATTTTTCTTAAATTTGAAATATAATTATGATTAATCCAAGAAAAGTATATATTTGAATATAAAAATTTAAGAGTTGAACTCAGTGATGTAAAATATAAAAAGTTGATAAATTAAGATGATAAACTCATGAAAACAAAAATGTGTGAATGAATATCAATATTTTGAAAATTAATTCATTTTAATTATTTCTTCTCAATATTTATTAATAAAAATAATTTAACTAATATCCAGGCGAAAATAACACTGTCAGCGTCGAGAAGAGGAGATCTCGAGATAACACTGACATCTCCGCAAGGAACTAAAAGCACTTTGCTCGCCAAGCGACCACACGATAATTCAAAAACAGGATTCCAACAATGGCCATTCATGTCGGTACATACATGGGGTGAACGTCCACACGGTACGTGGACTTTGGAGGTTCACAATGAGGGTCGATATGTTGGTAAGTAAAATTATATTAATTTATTTAAATATTAATTTGAAAATTTTTAAAAAAACTTTCCAAAAGCTTAAAAATAAAGAAAAAAAATTTTTATTTGTCTTAATAAAAAAACAAAAAAATTCCGATGAATGTTATCAAAAATGACAACTGATTGTAATACAAGTAACATATATATTTATATTTATATATGTTAATTATGCAAACAAAAGTTGAGATTGAGAATCCACCTCGAAGTGGAATTTATTAACTTGATAAATATACGTGTCAGATCTGTTTATAACTTAGGCAAACAGTAAGATAGCTCGACAAATTAACGTGGTTGTTTGAAATTACTAACATGCTTAACAGTAGCGTGTGAATTTTAGTATTTATTTTCATTATAAATTCTTTTTTTCGCGTCTTACTCAAACAAATTAACTAACTAACATAAACTGTCAGTTATTGTAAAGTTAGTTCATTACTTTAGTCAAACATATTGAACACGTAACGCTTGAGATTGTGTCTTATCAACTTACTTATATATTATAACTGAGAACGAACGTGTTTATTATCGTTGTATTGAAACCTGCTTTTCATTTTCACTAAAATAATAATAATAATAATAATAATAATGTATTGAGAAAAATAGAAAATATGAAACTTTTAGATTTTATTGTATGAATCACCAATGCGGTGAGTAGATTTTAAATTAACTTGATACTTTTATTAAACTTTCCGTAACTACAACTTTTAAAACTATTATCGATCATAAAAATATCAATAAATATGATCATTATATATTTTTTAGAGATATATGTTTGAAATAAGTAATTTAAAGTTTTTTTGTAGGTATACTTTTTTTTGTTACGACTTTTATTGGTCATACCCGTATTTAGTTTTCAAGTTACGGGTATAATTGAACTAATTCGTTATCCGTTATGCAAATTTTAACATACTACTGTAAAGTCTTACTTCCGTACTTTTAGATAATATTCATTTTCTACTTGGGTTACACTGCTGGTAATTATCTAATCATTTAAGTTTTTACTTTTAAACAAAAAGTAAATGAGTTTTAGCGGAGAAATTTTTTTAGGCGGCTAAAAAATTAGTTATTTTTAATGATGATAAATTTTTTAAAAATTAAACAAAAATAGTAATCAGACAAAGCTTACAACTGTGAGCTTAAAAATTATGGAAAAAATATTAGTATTGTTAAAAAATCAATATATGCAATTACTTTAAAAAAATGATTTAAAGTTTAACAATTAAATAAAAATTAATCAAAACAGTTTGAATAATTAAAAAAAATTTTTTTTTTAACATAAAGATTGCAGCAACAGTTAATTTTTTTCCGTGTAGTAAAATTCCTTGTAATAAGTGTGATAATAATATCAGTAGATATTGATAAGAAGCCATTTTGTATGAATTAAGCAACAAATACTGTCGTAAATTAAGATAAAATTAGTTCTTGGTAAATAAAAACCGATCTCGGATGTTTATCTAATCAAATATCATTTTATATGTTAATTTTATTAAAGTATTAGTTTAATTTGAATAGATCGTCGTAATTTTTGCAACTACATCTGGGGGTTGAGAGAGGAACTGGAAGGTTTGTAAAATGTTTCGCGCGCCTTGATGATAAGAGGGATCTTTATTTATCGGCATGGTTGTGGAGAGAGAAAACTACTTTACCGGATATATAAAGTGACTTTATCTTCAGCGTGATCCAAATTATATTTCGAGGACTGTACTTGGAATTAAAATAAATTTTAAATGTAAATCTTCTATCATAAGAAAGTTTAAAATTTTTGAAAACTAAAAATCTATATTAATATTTTCCAATAACTATTTTTAAATCAATTGATAATATTTATTTTAGCAAGAATTATTTTGGTTAGACAGCAATAATTTCTTAAATTTCAAAAAATTTTCGATCTTTAAAAGATTTTTGAAATTATTAAGTATAAAAATATTGAATATCAAAAAAACGAAAAAAATTGTGTGATGCTATATGTAATAGATAAAAAAATTTGATTAAAATTTCTGGTTCAGAGATCAAGAGTCTTGCTGGGTTTCCCAAACTAAAATAATCTTGCGCATGCGTTGGAATTTAAACTAAACATGACTACCATTCAGCACTACCAAGTTACCAAGTCTTTCAAGCTGTATGAACTAGATACCACTACAATACAATTCTGTAGTAATATTTACAATATGTAAAAAAAAAAACAATTGCCTGCCCATCTATTGCGCGCGCCACCTCTGTACTACGCAAATAACAACAAAAAACAAAGAAAAAAAGTGATAGTAATAATAATAAAAAACATTTGATTGCTATCAAGTTTAGCTCTGAGTACAAAAGGTTCATACGTGACAGCGTTACAGAAAAATTATTTAGCTCAGTATTTAGCTAATCACGCGGATTAAAATGGTTGATATCAAGACAAATATTAGTTTTGCGTGTCAACGTTGTTTACAACCACTAAGACTCGATCCCAGTTTTGATCACCTTGGTGAACACACACTAGCTGAATTATCACGTAAATGAATGTGGATGATTAAAACCCTCAGGTCGTGCGATACTTCACGAATGGTCGTTGATATTCTACGGTACAGGAATACTGCCCGACCCAACGGAGTTCGCGCTCTACAGCAGCATAACCGGTAGCGGAATTAACCCAAAGTTTCCTAAAAAGCCAGTCGTTAAAACGTCTAATTACTCACGCAACGGGCTCAATGTCGTCGGGCTTAAGGCCAAGAACAGCAAGTTTGTTAAGCAACAGCTACAGCAACAACTGCAACAACAACTACAGCAGGGCCAGAATGGTGGATTAAATCAGGCGTACATCCAGCAGAATCAAACTGCTAAAAAAAGCAAAGTACGTGGGCAACATAAAAATGGTAAATCAACAAATAAACCAACAGTACGGCCCACTGTACAAAGCTTACGTGGATTAACATTTAGTCGCATTGCTCCTCCATCTAAGCCCCGTGTTAGCGGTAGCAATGTCACCGCCGGACACAGTTCCAATCCCGGGAACACCACACCCAAATCAATTGTAGAACCGGTTGTTAAACTGACAACCCAGCAGCCGAAACAGCAGCAAGTTATCGACGCTGTGACATCAACTTCCTCCCTCCAGAGAGGGTTAATTCTGATGGAACCCGCGGCCAAAGCTGCGACTAACAAAGTTCCAGTGGTGTTCCAGCAGTATCCCAAAATCCAGCAGCTGTACCCGCTCTACCCGGTCTATCCCGGTGTGAGGGGTGTTAATCAACATGCCACCCGCGCTAAAGGCCTCGATCTGCTTCAAGACGAGCAGTTTGACACCAGAAATCTCCAACTCACTGACAAGGGTACTTATTCTGTCGATAGAGATGCATTGAGTAATTCGTTGCTGTTTATTGTTGTGCGAGTCATGATTTTTTAATTTTTTAAGGTAGTTTGATAGCCTTAGGTTTGTTAGAGATTATTTGTCATTGTTCTTCATTTCGAGAGGTTCATTTATTTTACTTATTTTATTTACTGGTGATTAAATAGGCTATTAGGAGATCAGATTGTAATGAGAAAACCTTTGCTACTAAACTACCTGGAGCTTTTATGTTAATCAAGATTGATTTGTTAGATTTTGTTTTTTGTTCCCGTATGTTTTTTGTTATTTTTGTGTGGTAGTTACTGTTTTTATTTTTTTTAGGTTGTAAACAATTTAGGTAATTATTTACAAGTGGGGTTCACCCTATTTTTGGACATATTTAGGAGGAAAATTAACATTTTTTTTATTCGGTTTGTTTTTGCGGCGCATTTATGATTATGATGAAAAATGTCGTGAAAGAAAAAATAAAGATTTTTGCCTTCAAAAGTTGGAAAAATTTTTGGGTCTGATATTTTTGGATAAAATTTCTATTTTATCTTTTTTTGATGTTTTTGATATATTTTTTTTTGAAAAGTACATAAAAAAACGAACAATTAAAAAAAAAATTAAATATCACAATTTTCTAAAAAATTTATAAATTTTTTTTTAAATTTATTAAAATTTTGATAATTAATTTTTTTTTAAATAGTTCATTTTTTTTTATGTATTATTCGAACAAAATATATCAATAAAATCAAATAAAAATTTCATTCAAAAAAATGAAAATTAAAATCGTGGACCTCACTTGTAAATAATTACCACAATTAAATTTATTTAATTTAAAGTTTTACAATCTTAAAAAATCTTTACTTATATTTTTAGCATGATTATTTATGTTATGGATGATTATTGTAGTTTAATTACTTTAGTAGTAAAATATTAAAATGTTTATGCTTCTAATTAATTGTCACAATTAATTAATTTTTATTTATTAAAATCAACAGATTTTTTTTTTTAATTTTTACGATTTTTTTAATATATAAATTATTTAAAAAATTATTGTAATAATTTTTTATAAAAAAAAAAAATTATAATTTATTAAAAAAAAAATTACGAGATATATTTGATCACAATTATTATTTCTTCTATTTTTTTTGCAGTTGATTATTTATAATTTAAAATAATAATAACTACTTAAAAAAAAACCTAATCCAAATAATTATTTTCAGCAAGTCTAACAGAATGGGGCCTGGTGTTTTACGGCACAGAAACGGCCTTAAAGTTCGACGAGGACCTGGACAAAGACAAGCCGATCGCGCCGATAGAAGTCGAAGATATACCGCACAACAGAGCCAACTCGGAGGATAAGAAGCCGGTAGACACCGAGGGTGAGGGAGGTTCGTGGAGACAACAGGTGGATATGATATCGCATCCCGAGGTGCAGAAGCCTACGACTGAAAACCACACGAGCAAAGCGTGTAAGAGCTTTGGCTCCAACGGGTGCCTAGGTGGGTGCCTATTGTTAATTCTACTTGTTCATACATTGATTAAAGAGCCCAGCTGAAGTGATTAAGTCGTTATGCTGGGTAGGGCGCAATATTGCCCTCGCCAACTAAACAAATTAGAAATATTTAGATATATAAATCAATTGATATAATTATTATTACTATAAAGATAAAAACAGATATACAAGTTTATTATAAGTACCATAAACATAAGATAATGAAACTTCCAGCCATAATTTATATTTTGCTCACGCAGTGATGAGTATGGAGCAGTCGAGCAAATGATTGTGTAATAATTAGTTAAAAATGCAAATTATCCCGGTGTTTGGTGAAAATTTAATGGAAAACGCGCGAGAATTGTATGAACAGTGAATGTAAATACGTGGTGAATATCGATGAGCAGCAACATGGAATTATTTTTTTTTTTTTTTAAATAGTAATTAATATTTAGTTTTTTTTTTTCGGTATTAAATGAGCTTCTAATCAAGGGGAATTAATTGAGTACTTGAACAAATTTACTTTTTAATTTTAACAAATTATGACTTTAATTTTTTTCAGTTTTACATAAAAATTTAAATATTAAATTGTCTACATAAGCTTTATCTAAAATGAACAATTTTATAATAATTTTACGGATTAAAAAAAATTTTATTACAATTAATAAATTATAATTGGACGATTGATAAAATTTTTGGTAAATATTTACAAGTGGGGTGAAACATTTTAATTTTCATTTTTTTGAACGAAATTTTTATTTGATTTTATTGATAAATTTTTTTTTAAATATAAAAAATGAACAATTTGAAAAAAAAGTTGATTATTAAAATTTTAACAAATTTTCAAAAAAATTTATAAATTTTTTAAAAAATTGTGATATTCACTTTTTTTTTAATTATTCATTTTTTTATGTACACAGAAAGAGAGCCAAAATTTTTTCCAACTTTTGAAGGCAAAAAGCTATCGAAATCTTAATGGCCCAAAATGGGGTTGTAAATAATTACCAAATTTTTTTTTAAAGGATTATTTTATAAATTGATAATTAATTTAAAAAAATTCGAACGGATACTATTTCTATCCAATCAATTGATTAAAAAGTTTAATCTGGATTTTTAATAAAATTTCTAAGCTGTCAAACAAAAATAAAAAAAGAAATCAATAATCGGCTTAGCATCGAAGTAATGAGCGTTGAAATTTATCTTGTATCTTCAATTTAATTTGATCTCTTTAATTACTAGGACGCAATAGTTCCAGAGAAAATAACCTTGTTGATAAAGTCTCGACTCGGTTCTCTAGAGATTAAATCAACGAGAAAATAAAGATAAACGCGGTCCTTATTTTACTTTAAACGTTACCGCCTCCGACAATTAAGCTTGCGAACAAAAATCTTATTATTATTATTATTATTAGTGATTTTTGTGCAAGGAGAAATGAGTAATTATTAATTATTAAATAAGCTTTTTACGGTGTTTAATACCCCAGATATTTGCTCAAGCAAAATTATCCTAATTAATGGTGTCTATTCGTGATAGTTAACAATAAATTGCAACGAGACACGTTTATTATTATTGATATTAATAAGAATAAAAGAAAAAATGAATAAATTTTTTCATGTGCTGCAATCAAGTCATATCTTACATACTTTTTATCTTAATTATTATCTAGATGTGCTGTGAATAAAATCACTCTGATTAATTATTTTTCAATTCGACTTGAGAGTTGGTATTTTTTATCATATAAAATGTGTGCTTCGCAAATTCATATCGTTACATAGATAATAATCCTGTAATATAAATATAAATATAAATTTACAATAAGAAAATAATTAAAAGCACAAATTATTTTAATAATAACTGTGCCATTAAATGATCAAATATTTTTTTAGTATCAATTTACTTTTTTAAATTACTTTTATTTATTTTATTTGCAAAAATTAAATAATTTTTTTTTTTAATTAAAAAAATTAATTTCTTTATAAATAATTGTTTATTTTATTGCCAAAAATAAAATAATTTTTTTTTAAATTAAAAACATTAATTTCTTCATAAATAATTATAGAAAAAATTCTTCGTTAATTTGAAGAGCGCGGGTTCGAATCCTGGAGAGATTTTTTATAAAAAAATTAACAATAATTTATTGTAGAAAATTACAAAAGGAAACAAAAAATATTGACGGATAATTGAAGTTGTTGCTGAACAAGCACTAGAAGAGCTTCTGGCAATATTATAGTATCAAGTGAAATTGTTCACAGGTTAATTGGATGAAATATAAACACGACGTACCGATGATACGAATCTTAAACGTAATTAATCCGTTTGAATCGCGCAAACTCATTAATATTATAATTATTTTAAAAAAATTTTTGCAAATAAAAAAAATATTGAGTAATTTATTTTCTTCATCAAATTTAATGGCACTATTTTTATTTTTAATTTATTATACTATTATAATTATAATTAAAAATCTTTTCATCGTTACCGATTTGTTTTTGATTTTAAAAATTCACGTCGACTAAAGTGCAATTAAATTACGAACAAAAACCGATTAGTATCTAATATTTGTAGCGTTGCCAAATAATTAAGTTGAAGAAAAACAGGACAAAACTTTGTAGCTTACATCCATAATAATTATAATTGAAGTAATAATAATAATTATAAATATAAATATTAATAGTAATAATTGATAACGGTAATAATAATAATATTAATAATTAATTAAAATAACAGTTGTGGGTGCTTTTTAATGTGAAGCGATAATGAATCAGTATTAAAGTCCTTCTGTGGATAATAATATTATAAATCGTCAATACATTTACCGATATTATATATATATATATATATATATATATATATA